GGATGAATATTTCATTTCTACATTTGATATCGTAGCATCTAGTATTGGTTGGCCAGTAGGAAAAGATTTGGCTGCAAAAAAAAAAAGATAGCAGTGTTACAAATGCATGCAATTACGTAAAAGACAAGTATTTTTACAGTCCAATAAGTCGTATTTTAATGATTCACTAAACAATAAAAGCAATTTTTGGTTACCGGAAATGTGACTTCTATTGGAGATGTGCTTCTAATATAGAAAATACGGTCAGACAAACGAACAAAACATCAAAACAGCACAGTTGTCACACAACAGAGTGTTCTATATGTGAATATAAAAAATATTGTGCTAAATTTGAGCATATGCTGTGGACTGGCACTTTACACTCACCTGTCGGTCTGAAAACATCGTCCATTAACGTGTCATGTGACAACTGCTCTAAATTAGGAATTGGAGCTTGCCAACTCTCAATTATATTGTGAAGCAGGATTACTTGTGCTTTAGTTGAATTGACCCCAAAATGAGGCACCTCAATTAATAATTCAGATTTCACTAAAGCAGGATTTGACCTTAAAAAAAATATATATAAATGTGTAATGTAATGATAGAAATGCTTTTTTATGTTCATGCTTCAGAAATTGTACATTTTAAAAACATTGACTTCTAAATCTGGTTTCAGGATTTTGTTGGATAAGGTTTTTTCATGAACTATACAAAATCCAAAACCTCTATGATTCTATGTGGTGAGACTGCAAGTCAATTTTTTTTCAAAATTTTCAGGTTTTATAACTTATATTTGTTGCACCAAAGAATCACTGCGACTGTCCCACTTCGTGTTTAACAAATCGCCAGAGTGAATGATGTCAATGCTATGAAATTTCATAATACATCACAAAAACTAGAATATTATGATTAACCCTTTCACCACCAGTTCCATTTTTTCATCACAAATTCACAAAATAGTTCTGTTTACAGTAAATTTCCTTTAAAAGATAGAAACAAAAATGGATGAATTTTTTGAGTGGAAACCAAAAATTTACTCAAATTTTGTTTGTTAGCTCCAAAATTAGGGATCATTTCAAAAAATATTGAAGAATATAAGAAAAAAGTACAGAAAAATTTGGGCGAGAGTCTGCTGGTGAAAAAGGTTAAAGTGGTTTTCATTACATTACACCTAGAGACTACTAGCTTAACATTAAATGTTACTTCTAAATTTTGTTGTTTCATAAAATTACATTTCCCAGTATATTTTTGCAAAACAACTCACCAGAACTTGACAAAAATAAAATACCTGCACCATCAAACCAAAATGTAAATTTTTAGCAAAAACAATAAGTATAAAATGGTAAGCAAAACACACCAGTACATAGGGAACTTGATTGTTTTCTTGTACACTGCAGCACTGCATGATGGGAGTATGTTGAGAACCAAAGGATTGTCACATGACTGTCCTATTGTAGTTAGCCCAACTTGACATCCAAAGACCTGGAAATAAACCACAGTGTGTTAATTATTTTCATGTTTGTAAATTTCAAAAAGCATATAACCAGAATAAGAGGGTTTTTTGTTTTATACAAGCTAGATTTCAGCTAGGTTTTTGTCATCAATAAAACTTTTCAATTTGAATATAATAAACATACTTTTTGATAACTCTGTAGATTTTGCAAGAGCATCAAGTAACAACAAATGTATATTTCCATATTATTAAATGTGTAGTATTACATTCAATAGAAACCTTGTCCTGCATATTTGCTCCAAACCGCCATTAGAATTTTCTCATTCATCTTTTTCTAATTCACTTAGTACGAATGGTAAATTAATCATCAGCAAACAATGATATCAGTTTTACAGAAGAAAAAATAATATTCAAAAAAACTATCGGGAGCTGGTTCGGTCATTTTGAAATTCAGACAAATAAATTTCTGAACAGACGATAAAAGAGAGTAAAAACACATCACTTTCTCAGTTGAGTCAAAGTATATATACAATGCAGAATTTGCTACATTGAAAAACCTGTCAACGAACTCTTTTCTGATTGGTCTAACTGGGTAGCCAATCAGGCACAATCTTCTAAGTTGCTTTGCATTGACTCCTGTTTCTGCGAGTCTAATAAAATGACGACCTGTTACTTTTATCTTAACGCTACGAAGTATAATAAATATCGCTCTCACCTTAATATACATATGCGCATAACAATGATGTAACAGATTTCCACTCGGCTGCGATAATTTACTGACTGATTTGACAAGACTTCTACCATACATGGGGAGCGTGTTTTGAATGTCAATGCGGTCAGCTAGCAGCTGACATGCTGGCAGTGGATAAATTGGCTGATACGATAAGGACAGCTCTCGTTTCCTTCTTGATGACTCCTGGTGGCAGAATTAACAAAACTATCATCTCAATGTCAAATGTAAAAAACAAACATGAATACGGACGTAATAGATTAACAGTCACTGATGTTAAATTTTTTTTAGATTTTGTTTTTTACATTTGAAGTGAATTTGAACAGTGCTTGATCTTCAAAGCGCACTGTGAATCACAGTAGCTAAATCGGTTGACAATATGCCAATATGTTAATATTATTTGAAGACATTCGTAATGACTAAATTTTATTAAGGTCATCGCGACTCACTGGAAAAAGAACCAAGGTTAAATGTTAACTGCCACAAAATATTGACTTGTTTCTTGTATGAATAATATCGTAAACTGTTTAACATTCACTGCTAAGAATGTTTCGTGACTTGTTGCTTCAATAGCCTTTGTAAAGACAAAATTTTGTTTAAGTCGCTTTAAGGTCATGTTTTAAAGACCCCGAGGAAATTTTCCTCAACTTTCAAAATTCGCTAAAAATTCCTAGCTGCGAACATTAAATACAAGCAGAAAATACATTTTTTTTGCAATAATATTATAAATACATAATGTTCCAAGAAGGCATTAAAATTTTTTATATAGAATATTTATAAATATTTTATGAAATTCAAATGACACATGAAAACAGCTTTACCAATTGGCCAACGATTGAAGAAAACCCGAAAGACTCATGAGTAACGGTCATTATCAAATAGCCAATAAAGGTTTGGGATTTGAATGAAGCGCAAGGGTCTTCCGGCATAAATGTTTTATAAATATTTTCAAAACATTTATGCCTTCCTGAAATGGAGTGTATTGAAGACGCACATTACACGGTACATACCTTTCTGTGTGATTTTCTCTGTTTCAAGACAATCTTTTTCTTTTTAATTTCACACTGCGGGTGTTCCGCCATCGATAATGATACATTAACATTCAGAAACGTTACATGCAACGATCTAATTGGAATATACTCTTCCAAAGCTGCCACTTCGTCGATGCTTGGGACTGGTCGATTCTCATCAACAATTTCTGAAGTAAAAATACACACATTGATAAATCATTGACTGAAATACAGTGCATGTCTGTACAATCTAGCAGTGATCACAAGAGTTTAAAGCTTCCAGGGGTCAACACATTGGTGAAAGGACATGAAACAAACACAGTGGAGATACGGTAATAAAAATTTTTTTTGAAAGTCAAATTTTTAGACTCACGAAATTGACAAAAATTCTAAAGTGGATGAAATTTTGGAAGAAATATTGGTCGTTTTGGAATAACATGGGAAGCTTTGGGGTTTTTTAAAAAGTGGAATAAACAACAATAGTACGGACAAATTTGTTTGTAATAACGCGCGGTACATGCTAAGCTAGGAGTCACAACCTACATGACCTAATTTACACAAGAGTGAAAATAAACTGCGAATAGGCCTACGTCGCTTCAAAATACACAAACCGTGACGTAAATGTTATTTTAGTTCATGCAAATTACGTGGAAGCAAGCCTGACCTCACTCACACTTAACGAGTACAGGAGTACAGAAACCCGTAATTAGACAAGGTTGGTGCGAATTACCAAGATCTCCATGATATAAAAGTTTGGTCGAATCTTCAGAGTCGCAAAAAAAACGGAAACTCGTCAATTCTAGAGTTTTTACGGTAGTAATCCACTACAATACAAATGGGGATACATGTCTACCATTCTGTGTTCCAGCCAATGAAATATGGCCCGAATTACATTTTTAAAGTTTACTGTTTTTGTTTGCTGTAAATGTCTTTCGACTTTTTCCCATGATGCAGTGTGTAAAACATTCCAAAATCACACATGTCTGTAGAACTTGAATTTCTGAGTTCAGAGGTCATCCATTTTTAGAACAAATTTGATAAAATTGTCTTAGCCTATAGGAATAGTACATGGAGAAAGTCTGCACTATTGTGTTTTGTGCATTAAGGCAATTAACCTAAATATTTCTGTGAGGTTCAAGCTACTCTTTTGAATCTAAAATACCAAGAATTTGACAAGGTGGACATCCAAATTTAGATTTATTACAATAAAACAAACATACTTGGAACATGTAAATTCCATATTTTCATTTAAGTTTTTTCATCAAGAATATTATTCCTGAATTCTCACCTGGTTTCGGTCTGCTGTACGGCTCATACTCGTGATCATTAGCACAGAATACAAACTTCTGCAAGCGGTGGACAGCGCTGCTGTTAATGTTCCACGTAGACGGTCCAAACAACACCTTATTTGAAGACATTTCTTTCACTGTATGAAACTGCGCTTCACTGCTGTGCCGTGACGATGATCTGCTACCTAGAAAATCAAAGAAAGCTT